TTGCGGAAAGGGCGACATAGTTGAAATAGTGTCAGCTATAACCACGTTGCCACTACACATTGCTGGCAAACATAATTGAACCAAACATTGTGAGAACATGGCTATGCATAACACCACCGTGTAGTGCTATTTAATTGTAATTGTGTTCGAGTGTGACCCCAAATGCAGGCAACTGTGTCCGAAGCACTTGCAAATTTACCATACTTTTATTCCAAATAGCAACTTTAAGGAAGCATGTCACCAATCGTCCGATGCCACCTAATTCCTCCCTTCCCTCTGTTCTTTCTTCAACTTACCCTACTTACCTACCCCACGATTAATGTGCAAGTGAGGGAGCTCATAAAAGCATTTATTCATCTTGATGATTAAAATGGCTATATGCAATGACGCAATGAAAGGAGATAAAGATGGACCAATGGACGAGCAGCTAAATGACTGAATGAATGAACAAATGTGTGAAAAAGAGATTCAATGCATGAGTGAATGCAGAAGGAACGAATAAGGAATAATCGGACAAAAGTATGCAGCAGCCATCACCACATCGTCAGTCCCTTCTTCTACTTTGCAACATTCACTCGCCATTTGGTCATCTGGACTAGTGTGTGATTCCTTGTTTTCTGCCTCTCCTCCTCCTATATTTTCATCTGCTTCATATTTTTGAGCTTTTCTTTCTTACACTTTCACCTGTTCATTCGCACTACGTGATCGCACTCACCTGCATCCACATCATTTAAATATGCCCTCCTCGAATACATGGTGATTTATAACACATCTTACAACTTCACTTTTTTTTCTTATGTTCATTTAAACACCTTACTTGCATTCAATGAGTAAAGACGAAATGTTTGATATGCGAGGAAACCTCATTGACGACTGGTAGGGAGATGTTGTAGCACAACAGAGATGGACATGGTCTTTGTAAAGTCGTCGCAGATTTGGACAAATTTGAATCGCAACTTTGAATTCGATTTGGCAACCGGTGACATTTGCAGGAGGATTGTGAGTGCCTAAGTAAAAGATTGCATTAATGAACATCAAATAAGTGATTAATGTGTACTTCTCTCTACGAACTACTAGAATCATGTCTTCGGTTTGGAAATGTTGGCAATAAGCCCATGTTCACTTCACACAACATCCATTCGCTTCACATTTGATCCCGCAATTCCACACTCATTGACATCTAGACTTGTGTGCATACATACAATAAATGCAGTAACTTCGTGATCGTAAAAAGGAAAGCCCGTCTTCTTTATATTGGCTGAACGGCAAAAGTCGTCGTCTATTCTAGCATATCTATTCACTGCAATTTAAAAACCCGCAATCCGTGTTTTGCGCCTTATACACAAAATTCTGTTCTCTACTTCTCAACTGGAGTCAAGGCAGTGACACCTAGATGAGGATCTGGACAACTCTCCTAAATGTGAAGCAAATACGCTGCACAAATGTTTGCAATCACACCTGGCTCTCTCCTCCTATGGGCTCAAGCTAACCAGAGAGAAGGCATTGCATCTCTAATACAAATTTATGCGATACGTAGCCAAATTAATTGATACTTTCAGGTAACCATGTAGTTTCGCCATATAAATTGTCTACTATGCACGCTTTCGATCCCTCACACATGAAAAGTATTCGCTCACCAATAATTTAAACCATTTGAAGTTCAACTGTTTTGCCTTACTTAACCACATGATAAAATGTACATTTTGAGTCAGCAAAGGCGAGTGACAAATAGCAAGAATGAGATGACCAAAACGAAGTCCTGTACTTGTCATTCACGAGTTACCCACTCTGAGAGGTCACAGTGCTGTTAATCAAATACGAATGAATGTCGACTGGTGCATTGCCTGTGCCAATAAAGCCTGCAGTACGGAAGGTATCGTTGCCAACACACAAGTCGCGGTGTTTGATATTGCGTGCGGATAAAACAGTTGGTCATTTAAAATGACTAACGCAAAAGCTCAAGCAAGGACTAGTGTAGTGCAGGCAATGAGGATG